AGAAAGATACAGTGTGTTAAAGTGGAAATTTAAAATTTTATTTTTCGCTTTAACTTTCATGTTTGTAAACGTTTATGTATACAAATTTATAACTGGGTATTAGTAAACATCACATATGCCACATATGTTGCATACATTTGCACTTTACTTTTTTGCTCTTTAAGTTACCGGTGTCTCTGATAAAAATATTTAAGATACATTATTTTAACAAAAAAAAAGGTATAGTGTTAATAACTTTAAAAATCAACAGTTTTCGAGTTAATCGCATTTTACAAATCAACTACATAATTCTAATTTAACTCAATTACTTCAGGCATCGAAAGAAAATTAGACAAAACCATTAAAACCAGTAATAATGAATTTTGGTATAAAGTACCTTTAATAAAGGTAATAGTTAACAAAATATTAAATAAAATAAATATATCAGCAGGATAATTAATAATAGGATTTGACAAAATAACAGAATATTTGGATTTTACATCAAACATTTTACGTTTTGTATTAAATTAAAGTCATAATCAAAATATTTTATTTATAATCCAAACTAAGAAATAGTTAAACTAAATAGCATTAAACTTTTTGTCCAAGTAAGTGTCTTGTCTGTCCGCTATGTCCACTATTCTCTTTATCACGACATGCATTCTAAACATGTATTTTAAATAAAAGTATGGTTTGAAACCATTGGTAATAATTTTTTATGGACATGCGAATTACCTTGTGATTTGAATGGTGAGATTTATTTACATTTTTTTATAAAATGATGTTATTGATTTATTGGAAGAATTGTCATCAAACTTACGGCGAAATATGTGGTTTATGGAAGGTGGTACATCACCACATTATAGAGAGAGGGCAGTGAGAACATACTTAAATACAACTTTCCTGAACGTTGGATTGTTCGTGGTAGTTATATTCTTTGGTCTTGTGATGAGATATTAATATAATTATTTAAAATCCCAAAATATTCCTTATTATTATACTTATAATACATATAATAAATACTGCAGCAGTTTCTATAGAAACAATGATGCTATTTAATATGAGACAATATTTTATTGAGTGTATTGACAAATGAATTAAAGAAAATGGTGGACATATCGAACACTTACTTTGATAAAAAATTTAATCATATTTCGTTTAACTTATTTTTAAGTTAGTTTGTCAATAAAATGTTTTGATTATGACTTTAATTTCATATAAAACGTAAAATGTTTGATCTAAAATCATATTATTCTGTTATTTTGTCAAAATCCTATATTATCCTGTTGATATATTTATTTTATTTAATATTTCGTTAACTATTAACTATATTAAAGGTATTTTATAACAAAATTCAAAAGTATTAATGTTTTTGTCTATTTTTCTTTCGTTGCCTGGAGTAATTGCGTTAAATCAAAATTATGCAGTTGGTTTGTAAAATGCGATTATCTCGAAAACGGTTAAGTTTTGAAGTTATTAACAAGTATATCTTTTTTTTATTAAAATAATGTATTTTTAATATTTTGTGAATGCACACATGGACTATTGTGGAATAATAAAAAAACAAAATGAAATAATTGTAGAATTTATAAAACAATATAAAGTATTTAGTTGTACAGCGTTGAACTCTAGTGTTCGAATAAATTCATTCAAACATGTAAAACTATTTTTTAATATTTTTAATTCAGTATTTAACTTCACTTTTGACAAAACTGCACTCGCTCTATAAATGTCATAAAAAATGTAAAACATCTGTCAAACAATTTTTGTCAGCAGTTTTTAGTATATAGTTTTTTGTGCGCTTTAAAAGAAGACTCCCCAAAAAATTAGGCACCCCGCCTACCCTCAGAGCGAATTTTAGTCCCGCACAGTGCAACATCTCTGTTAAACAGAAGTTCTTAAGAATGCGTCAAGGATTTAATCCTCAAAAAGTATACAGTGCTCTCCAAATCGGTTAATGATTTATCCCGCTGTTGGTATCTTCTTCTTATGGTGCCTATACGTTACGGATGTTGGACACTAACATGGCTGTTCTGACTTTGTTGACTACTGCCCTGAAAAGTCCGGTAGTGGTTAAGTTAAACCACTTTCGCAGGTTATGCAGCCAGGATATTCTTCTCCGTCCTGGACCTCTTTTTCCATGCACTTTACCTTGAAGTACGGTCCGAAGTAGGTCATATCGTTGTTCATTGCGCGTTATATGACCCAGGTATTCTAGTTTGCAACGTTTTATGGTTACGACTATTTCGCGCTCTTTACCCATTCTAAATATTAATTCTTCGTTGGTAATTCTGCCCATCCAGGAAATCCTCAACATGGGTCTATAGCACCATATGTCAAATGCTTCGAGTATCTTCAGTGATGCTTCAGTTAAGGTCCATGACTCTACGCCAGAAAAGAACGGAAAATACGTAGCATTTTAGTAAACGAACTGTTATTTCCAATTTTATGTCGTGGCTGTTAAAGGTTTTTTTCATATTGACGAAAGCTGATCTTGCCATTTCGATCCTTATCTTAATTTCCGTCGATTGGTCCCACTGTTCATTTAAGTTTGTACCCAGATAACAAAAGTTGGTCATTTGTGTTATAGGTTGTTGGTTAACTAGTAATTGACCAGGTGGTATCCTATTTTTGCTTATAACCATGTATTGGGTTTTTTGATGTTAAAATCAAGTCCAAACCTGCTCCTTACTTCTGCCACCCTGGAGACAAGTGTCTGCAGACCTTCAAGACTGTCTGCAAAAATGACAGTATCATCAGCGTATCTTATGTTGTTCAATCGTTCTCCGTTTATAAGTATTCCCTCGTCTAAGTCTGTTAGCGCTAGGTTCATAATGTGCTCTGAATATGTATTGAACAATAATGGGGACAATATACATCCCTGTGGTACACCTCTTTTTATCTTTATATCGTCTGTTACCTGATCCCTAACTCTAACAGCTTCAGGTATAACAGCAATCAATTATTATAATCACAGATACATATTGATTATAATACAGCAGTGGCCTTTTTTGTATACACTAGAAGTGTTAGGAGTTTTTTTTGCATTGTTCTCTGGGTGGCCTTTGACACATGGCTACCACATATCCGCATCTCTTGATCCAGCTTCTTCGTGGTACTAACTTGGATAGACAATAGTGCACATACACTTTCGATAGACTTATTAGCCAGTAGTTGTTTTTCTTTTTTTTTTGCTCTTTCAAATACAGACATTCTTATACTACAGGTAAGAGCTCTCATATTTTGTAACCATCAATCTATGTTATGCTCTCTATCTCATTTTAGGACATTCTTCATGTTTGTCCTATTGTGTAGATACTAATTTTATCTACATTAATTAATTTAAAAAAATTAAAATTTAATGCAATGCAACTGGACTATTGAAGACGATGTTTCCAGCTTACAATACTTTATAGAGTGAGAAACGTACACATTAGGAGAAACATGTAAATTGACTTGGACATAATAGACTTGATCGAAGTCAAAAGGCCAAGCTGGTATGGACACCTGCAGAGAATGCTTAAAAATAGATGTCCAAAAGGGATAGAAAATGGACTTCGCCCACTAGAAGAAACGAGGTAGACCAAGACGGTCATGAAGAAAAAATCTCAAAGATGCAATGATGGCCACAGATTTAAAAACTGAAGACTTACTATTACAATAATAAATATTAAACTTCCGGGTTGAACCGCGTCGATTATCATTGCGCCGAGCTTTCGACATCCTCTTTGATGTCTTCTTCAGGGCTTCCGAGATCTTAGTCTCCCGAGCCTTCACACACTACTTCACCGATTACTAACCAATGTATTACTGCTACTGGGAACAGAAAACGGTTCGTTTATACCGTCGATGTTGACGTGGTTTGGGTGGCGGTTGCCGTGGGGGTTAGTAATGGGATTGGCGCGAGGGTTACAAGACCTAAAATTAAATCGGAATTGCGAACAGAAATGGAATGTTCATAAATCCTATGTAGGATTCTACTATTTGTTTGGCCTATATAAGAACGGGACAGTCTGCTTATTATTAATAATACATATTAAACTCCTTGTAGGCAAAAGTAGTCATTTAGGAAATTTATAGGATTTTAAAGAACTGGGAATTATGAAGAACTAATCAATACTACGTATAATGTATTGGCTTTTCGGTACTACCAATAGACGAGGCAATAAAGCAGTAAAAAGCAAAAAAACGTACCAAATTTTTGGTGGCGGTTGAAGATGAATCGATGTCAATGAGACTTGTTACATTCGATTTTTAGGAGTGTCAGGAAATTTTGGGAATAAAAATGATAATGTGTAAATGAAAATTATATTATTGAACAAGGAAAATGCATTATAGAAAGTATATTTCGAAGTGATGAAAAATGATAAATTTTTAACTCAGATATAATTGACGAAAATAAGTCTAATATTACTATATAATAACGTTGGTGTATAAACTGACGTTTATGACGGTGATGACTGTGGGACCCAAGTCCGCGGGTTTTTCCGTTGTTGCCAAATTTCGTAGGAAATAATTCGGAGTCGTATATTTTACGAGTATTAGTATTCTAAAGTTCAATAAACTAGAAATTAAAAAACATCAATAAATCCGAGTCTCTAAAATAGTGTATTTTATTTAGTTCATGTCCAATTGTATTTGAAAATCTGGCTCATTTTGAAAATCGAGATTTTTCTCTCAGTTCCTTCAAAGGGGTACTATTTTCATTTTTACAGCTTCACCCCCCTTAATTCTTATTTTAGGAAACAGTATTCGTAATAAGCAAAATTTGGAAAATAAGGCTGGTCATCTAACACCTGTTTGTACAATACTACCGAATAATAGTTTAATGTTTGGGAGCCCAGTGAAGGTATCTATAGATTTTCGTAGAGCTATTTCTTAATAGCAATACATAGAAAATATCAGATTTAAAAAGTGTAGGAAAAGCATAACCTAATTATTCAGCATACCTACCTACTTTTTGTCACTTAAATAAACCTTACAGTACTTTATTAAATACTTTATTTTAGAAAAATATAACTTTACAATTTTGCATTGACGTGGATAGCAACAACACCATCATCTTCATTGGTAGACAAAGAAATAGCGGCCTTACCACTTTCATTAACATGTATAGTTTTTGCTGTACAAGATCCATTTTTCAAACTACCCGAGATAACATCGCAATAAGTTCCAGCCGGCAAAGAAGTTTGAAGGTGTTGATCGATGTCTCCATGTAAAGTAAAAGCGATAAAGCCTTTTTTTCCCCTTCCAAAAGCAATTTGTTGGTGGCCGTCACTCCACCAGTTATTTATACCTGTGCCAGCTACAGCGTTTCTAAAGCTGACCATATTGTAAATTTGACGCCATCTATGTTCACATACCCAACCGTTTGTGCACGTGTTGTCAGCCTTGAAACCGGGTTGTTGACTAGGAGGACCTAAAATTTAAATACACTTAAATAATATGGACATATGATATGGACATTAGATAATAATAAGGTGCATACAAAAAGACTATAGATGCATCTGAACTCAGTGTTAATCCCATATCTATTATTTTTCCTTTTATCAGAAAACAAATCTGCGTTAAAAATACATTTTAATGTAAAAGTCAAGTGGAAATATTGAAAAACTGTATATAACTTATTTAAAAACAAGGTTTTAACTAGATTTACCCAAGTATTACTAAATATATTGATAAAACAAAGAGTGGTCGAGTTAAATTATGTAAGTGCTAAAATTAAAATTAACCAGAACAAAAAAAACTTAAACCTCCAAAAAATATAACAAATATATATTTGTTTATCGAAATTTATGTAACTCGTTGATCAGACCGCCCTAGATTTTGATTTGACTCGAACCTTTACTATATCCAGGATACTGGCGACCACAAACAAGTTACATGGATGAATAAAACTTAGATGAATTGAATTTAAATAGCCACTGCTAATAAAACACAGATTTTACGATGATTGCACCAGATTGATTACGGATGGTTCACGTAGATGAGTACTTGTTCACTGATAACAAGAAAGTAAGTTTTTTGTAAGAGAAAAACTGCAAATAATAATTTTTTGACAATAATGTCTACTAATAAAGTTAGTTCCTGTAATTGTCTACGGAATAGGACCAAATTGTTGTTCCACGAGAAAATCTAAAAAGACTTGAACAGATGAAGCATATGGTAACCAGATTACCCAAAGCATTCTACAAGATATATACCTGTTACCTTATCTTCTTCTTCTTAAGGTTCCATCTTCTAACGAAGGTTGGATATCAACATGACAATTCTTATTTTACTTACAGCAGCTCTAAATAGTTGGCTAGAACTCAGACTAAACCATTCCCTTAGATTTCGTAGCCAGGAGGTTCGTCTTCTTCCTACATCTCTTTTACCTTTTATTTTGCCCTCTATAATCAAACGTAGTAGCCCATAACGAGGACCTTTAATATATGACCGAAATATTCAAGTTTCCGCCTCTTAATTGTCTGTACAATTTCTTCCCTCTTATTAACCCTATCAAGGACTTCAATATTGGTAATTTTGTCTACCCATGCTATTCGTAGCATCCTTCGATAACACCAACGCTCAAAAGCTTCCAATTTCTTAATCTCCAGTTGTTTCAATGTCCATGCCTCAGATCCGTAGAGCAAAGTTGTAAAAATGTAGCAGCGCAATAACCTTATCCTTAGATCCATTCTTAGGTCTCTACTACACAATAGATGTTTCATTTTTACAAATTTTGCCCTTGCTATTTCTATACGGCTTTTAATCTCTTGCGTTTGTTCTGCGTTTTGACTAACCAATGTTCCTAGATATTTGTATTTATCTACCCTTTCTATCTGGATATTATTAATATGGAGTGTCTCGTTGTCTTTTGGATGTTTTGTAATGACCATGAATTTTGTTTTCTTTAAGTTCATTTTAATACCATATATGGTACACTTTTCATTCAGCCGTTCCAGTATGTTTGTTAGACTTTGCAGAGTTGAAGTGAATATGACAGTATCATCGGCATATCTTATATTATTAATAATTTCACCATTTATTATCATTCCATCGTTACACTCTCCTAAAGCTTCTTGGAAAATGGCTTCGCTATATATATTAAACAGCAGTGGTGACAATACACAGCCCTGTCTCACACCCCGAAGAATTTCTATTTCTTCCGACATTTGATTTTCAATTCTTATTTTGACTTTCTGGTTCCAGTAGAGGTTCGAGATTACTCTGATGTCGCGGCTATCGATGTTTTTCATTTTTAAAATATTAATTAGTTTATTGTGCTGTTACCTTATCTGATACCTTGGAACGCCGGGTATTCTTTATATTTGTGTTAACCCTTTCCAGTCAGATGATCCCATTTGGGATCATAGCAATGTTTTCTGCTTTAGCGGCAAAGGAAACTACTTACATATGTCGACTTGGCGAACGGTATTGCGTTGCCTCACCTTCCTACTAGATGACGCTGTAATAAATTATTTGACAGTTGTATTAGTAGGCGTTAGTCACATTTCAACGTAAAACTTTGTAGTAAAATAACGATCATCAATTGACTGTAAATTTCAAATCATTCTAAAGTGAGTAATTGAACCATTAATTGCGCGAAAAAATTTATTTTGCTTTTTACATTGTTTTTATTTGATAATTTGCAATATTGTTTGCTCATATTTACAAGATTGTTTATGTAAATATTATAAATATCAATAAATCAAAATTCATTGGGCCATTGTGGAGGTCTCCAAATGGCATCATTGGGATGTCGTGTGCATTTTGTTTCTGTCAATAAAATACAAAAGTTCAAAACTACCAAAATCAAACTTTCTTTTCGGGAATTGCAAAATCTGTCCCAGGAAGAGATAGTTAGTCTTCTTGGCGACTGTGATATGGAATTTGATGTTGATAATGAGGAAGAGACTTTGAAAGAAGAAATGATTGAAGAAACTCAAATAGAAGAATTATTGGAAAATATTGTTGAAGATAGCTTGAACACCCAAGTTACAGAGAATATGGAAGAAAAAACTATTAAAGAAGTTACAGAAAAGCCACAGACAATTTATGCCAAGAAAAAAAAAACAGAAAAACCAACTTGACAGACAATAGTTTAATTGATGTAAACAGCGAATACAGTGGTGATTTCTTGGTTGATGAGAATATTTATACGCCTTTCCCATATTTTAACTTGTTTTGTGACAATGTTATTATTTAAAATTTTGCTAGGCAGACAAACTTCTATTCTGTGCAAAAAGACGTAGACAAAGTAAAAATATTGATGCAAATGCAGCAGAGATATAGCAGTTTTTAGGCATACATGTTGAGTGGAATTGTTCGTGGTTCTTCGTATAGAATGTATTGGGAAGAAGAAACGCGATATAATACGATATCATGTCACGTAATCGTTTTGATAAACTGCGAGCATATTTTCACATCAGCGATAATTTGAAAGCATCGATGATTTTATTATATCATTCAAAGGATATAATAATCTAAAGCAATATATGATAAATAACGCAGCGGCATACTATACGATTTTGAAATATATGTGGGAAAGGAACAGTCCAAGATAAATCAGGTCTTACAATTAGTGTTGAAATAGTACTAAAGTTGGTCAGAAATCTGACAAACCACATGAATTTTAAGATTTTCACGGATAATTAGTTCACATCTTATATTCTACTTATTAGTCTGAAAGAACGGGGCTACCTTGCTGCATTGACTACAAAAATTGGGCAGCTGGCGGGTTGTTTTTTTTTCAGAACAAAAAAGTTTTAATGGCAAAAAGTCGTGGATCCTTTGATGTAAAAATAGACAGCAAAAAAATACGCATATGTATACGTACCTTTAAGGTACGTATACATATGCGCGCCGCTCGGCGCGCGCGCTGTTCGTTTGTAGCATGTTCGTTAGGTTAGTACGTGTTTGCAAGAGGCGCACAAACGGCGCACAAACGGCGCACATACGGCGCACTACGATCCACCTTCTGTCGGTTTTTCAACGAACACTTTGGTGGTTCGCATTACATATTTGGACGGGTTAGTGAAAGGTGTGTTGATTTTTGGCGCGTCTGAGTATTATAATAGTATATTATCTTAAAATATTTGGTAGTAATGGAGTGGCCAGAAGAAAATATTATCAAACTTATTGATGCTTACCGTGGGAAATCCCTATTGTGGGATCCTCAACATAAGGACCATTTTAAAAAACCACTTAAAGCCGATGCCTGGAGGGAAATAGAAGCTGAAATAAATATACATGCGGACGTAATTTGTGTAAAATTCTGATATTGGCCACTTATTTTTTGAGACTTCAAATCCATCATAAGTTCGGAACCATTTCGTGTTTTAAACAGGTTGGTGTGCCACCGACGTCGTTGCTTCCTTTTGTTTTTGTACAAACTGGCCATTACCAAGAAAGCACCACTCATAACAGAAATAGCGTAAGTTTTATCGCTTGACAGAGACATGATTATCAACAATTACTAAATGTTCGTCAGTTTTCTTTGGATCGCGGAAGGTTCGTCAAAATGAAAAATTTCAACGAACATTGAACGCGCCACGAACGCGCGGCGCACACAAGGCGCGAGGTTCGCGGCGCGCATATGTATACGCACCTTTACTCTAGAATAAAATGTTCTAAGTCCAATGTTTTTATGTTTAAAAAACAATAAAAATATAGTTGTCATGTACAAAATTAAATTTTTTAATAGTATAAGTGCAATAATAAACGGATTTCCTATTATAGTCAATTTTTTACCAGACCACAATATCAAGTGTTATAAATTGATAATTCAGGTACTACCAACACCAGATGATTCCAAATGGGTTACATTTTTTTTGAGTTTGAAGACTCTAGAGTGCAAAATTTTTACAAAAGTTATCAACAATTACTTTTTCTTGTATCGTTTCCTATAAAACATACAGTTTTTTAACAAAATTTATTGAAACAAAAAAATTGGACTGGAAAGGTTTAAATATATCTTCTGAGTTTTTGTCGTTCTTTTCATGTCATTCTTCTTTATGTGTCGTCTTCTTCCGAAGGTTGCAATAAATCAGACGATAGGATTCCCTGTTTTATGCCGCATGTTTTATGTTTAAAGGTTCGGGTAGGTATTTGGAACCATTCTTTTTGGAATCAAGTTTCTTGAAGAGGATTATTTCTTTCTGTCCAAACCTCTTCTATCTTTAATTTTGCCTTCAATCGACTGTCATTATGTGCATTAATTAAAACATTTTACCTGATTCACATAATTAAATTCGTTGCATTTTTACCGTGAACCTAGTCAATTCAGCTTCTGACCTGTTGCCCGAGTCATATTATGGAGAATTCTTTTAAGCTTTAAACTGTACTCGATCTATGTTTTAGTATACTCGTATCCTCATTTCTTATCACTCCATAATCCTTCAATTTTTTTATTTTAAACACCACTTGCAGTAATTAACTAGGATTTCCATGAACCGAATTATGTGTTCTGTCTTTTCGTTCCAATTATTGTTTGCAGTTGAATGTTAAATTGTAGCTTATCTTTCTTATGTTGTTTTTGCAGATAAATTTAATTTATTGATTAGAAGTTACTTGTTTGACTATTTATAAAGTTGTGGTTAAAACTAGATATTTGAAGATATAAAATTGCTTGTAATTGTCAGTTTTTGTTTCTGACACTATTGCACTGCGCTTTAAATTGATTAATACATTATGTTATCATTAATACATTATTGTACGTAATGATTAGTGCTTGCGGGACAGGGTCACACTCAAGCAGTAATGTATCTGACACCAGTACTCAGACAAAATTGTTTCCTATACTCTAACTATATGAGTGAAATTTAAAGTTTGTATTATTACCTTGATCCCGGTTATCAAAATGAAAACTTGACATTATCCTCGTAGTTCCATATGGATGAGCCAGCATGAAAGCTATTGCCATCTTGTAAGGTTTTGGGTTCTTGTATGTGAGAATAGCTGGCGATCCATCTCTTTGGTTATCATGGTTATCAATGAAGACAACAGCATCAGTTCCTGCTAATAGACCCCATTCTGGACCCCAGCTGTTTAGCCAGTGGAGAGCATTACGCCCTTGAAAGGCGTTACCCAATTCGGCACCATATTTGAACTCAAGCACCGCTCCAAAGCTATTGTAATCAGTTTTTTTCACTGCCTCTCCACCTGCAATTACGTATAAAATAATAAATAATAAATAAAGTATAATTAACTTAAACGTAAGAACTTTTAACATACACATTATTAAGTTTTATATGAAAAAAGAAGAAAGTTTCAATTGTTGAATGTTTATTTACGATTTATTAAATATGTTTAAGACAATTTCTTTGGGATATTAAATGTTTTTATACCAGCTTTATCTTTGCTTTTTAAAGTATTACACAATTTCATTTGGCATAAGATTTACATTTAATTTGATTTGATTTTTTCAATTTTTACTAGTTTACTAAGTTTAAAATGCACGGATTATTATTTGAGAATGGTGAAAAAGGCTTTTAATAAAGAAATGTTCTTATTTACGTAATATATCTAAAATTGGATCTGAAGAGAATATAACTGCAGAAATGAAATTTGTCCAGTCATCAAAGATTTGACCCCTAAAAATCATACGAATAAGCGGAATTTTTCTGAGGATGCAATTTTGGGACCCCAAATGAACAATAACGAAGCCAATGGGTACTTCAAGCAAAGCCCTTACATATTGGGTTTTGGGTTAAAATAGTAAGCGCCATCTACTATATACCAAAAACTGTGGATCTAACAAATGGGACCCAAATCCTATTAATGATTTTCTCGTACGCTGCTTGTTGCGCTCAATACATGCGTTTAATTTAAGTAATGGTTAGATTAGATAATTGAAGGGCTCGGGTGAAGGTAATGGTATCTAACATTTTTTGCGAAATCGACTTTTTATATGGAAATAATGGTAAATGTAGCTAGAAACACATTCCTTGTGAAGATTTATCGAATAGATGACGCTACAGTAGCACCCTAACATCCTGGTAACTAACAGTCGTCGTGAAGAATATAATGGTATTTGTCATCATGACGGCGAACAATAAGTCGTTTACGTCTATGTGTGAACAAAACAAGCAAAATTTGCAAGCAATATATGACACAACTGGTAGTTCAGAATGCGATGATAGCGATAAAGATGCAGACTACAGTTTTAACGAAGATATTGGCAAGAAAAAGGTAAGTTTTTGAATATTTCTCTCCAACTTGATTTAGCTTGAAAATAATGGTAATTATGTAGATACCATCTTTTACGTTTAATGATGAGACTAACGAATATAACCAATTCACAAGTAACTAGTTACCATTATTTTCATTAATTTACATGTGCAGTGATACATTGTAAAGATAGAGCTAATGCTTTTTAAATGGATTTATTTTTTTTTAATATTGACAAATCTAATAAGTATTTTTGAAAAAATTTAAACCCAAAATGAAAGACTACAATGTGTATTTTAATAAGTTACGGGAGTGAAAAAGAAGAGAAATTTAGTGTGCATTTTAGTTTTAAATATCTCATTCAAAAGAAACTTTTCGGTTATTCTAAGGGACTTTTGACCCTCGGTAATAATGTAATCTTTCATTTTTTGTTGATTTTTACGCACAACAGGCCATTAAGGCCTAGGGCATTTTTTTACAACATAATCCTAATATTAACTAATTACAATTATTTTAAACAAAACTTTAACTTAAATATGTATATACAACATTCTTAACTACTCTGAAGGACCTGGTGTACAATGTTTCTCCATTCGCTTCTATTTTGTGCTTTTCTTTTGCAGTATCTCACCTTCACGTGTTCAAGGTCTTCCTCCACTATACTAATCCACCTCGTTCTGGGTGTACCTCTTCTTTTGGGGCCGATTAATTTTCTGGTTATTACTAGTTTAGCTATTCTGTTTGCTGCCATTCTTTCCACATGTCCCAACCATCTGATTCTGTGTGCCTTGACGAACTTAGTGAAACATAGTCTTTCATTATGTGTTAAAATTATCAAAAATACTTAGTTTTTTCAGGATTCGAAAGAATGAATGCCTTTTTAATGCATTGGCCTGAAATTTTCTTACGCTTAAAAATGTTCTGTTTGTACAAATTTAATTTCTTTTGCAGAAACATCGTAAGATATGGCCTACACCGTTACGCAACCACAATACTAATGCAGTATCTGGTGAACCTGACAAGGAAAACCCTGTTCGAGGAAGCAAAAGGAAACGAGGATGTAACATTAATCTTCGACAACAAAATAAACGGAACAGTGCTCAATCATGTACTTGTAAAACAGGAAAGAGAAACGTTATACCACAAAAATCGATAGGAGAGGATTGTAAAGAAAATGTTTTGAGGTTGTATCAGCAGACCAAATGAAAAGTATTTTTCAAAAGTTTTGGGAGATAAATAATTTTAATTCCCAAAATGCGTATTTATTTGAATGCATGCAGATTAAAACAAAGGCATGCAGTACCAAACCAACGGAATTGCCTTCCCGAAGGAGTCACTCTGTCGATTATTTAGTAACAACTACAGGCAACAGAAGGTATCAAATTTGTAAGAAACATTTCTAAATATTCATGGACTACAACATAATAGGGGTAGAGTCGATAATATTGCTAAAAACATTAAACAAGGTTTACTAATGCCGAAAATGGATGGAAGAGGATGTCATGCAAATCACAAAAAAAATTCTAATAAGAACATCCTATTTCTTAAAGAATTTATTGAAAGACTCATAAAATATGAGAGTCACTATTCCCGAAATGAAATACAATAAAAAAATGCTATGAGGTTTACAAAATTGAATTCCCTGTAATTTTTTTCTTATTTCTATTATTGCTACTTGTGTTTATTTCTAACAACATTGTTTAGTATATTTGTTTCATTTTTATATCCTATGTGCAATTCAATATACGTAAAAAATGGTATACAGTGTTTTTTATTTAAAGTATCGTATTACTCGTAAATTTAAAATTCGTTTTCTGTGGTCAATTTAAAATAAGCTAGTTAGAAGAATAACAAGTATACATGTAAAAATACTGCTATGACAAATGTCTTTGCAACAGAGCAATTAATCGGTAAACTTTTAAGTTCAATTTCTGAACATAACTCCCTCTATGGCTCAGTGGTAAGAGCGCCTACCTTTAAATCTAAAGGTCGTGAGTTCGAATCTCACCTGGGTGGAAATTTTCGTTTATTAAAAATTAATAAATGAAAATAATTTCTATCCTTGTGCGATCGGAACTCACCAGAGGGACCGCAGACGTTCGGATACAATTAGCGTCTCTTAGCAAAGACAATGATGTCGACTTTGCTAAGTATCAAGACAATTACTCTACACATACACACACACTACACTAGGTACCTGACTGTACCATGCCAATGATCATAGTTGTCGAGGCATTAACTCAATAAAAAAAAAAAAAATTCTGAACATTTGTAGAAATGTCACTTATCATTATCTTCACCCGAGCCCTTCAATTTAGTTAATGGTAATAGTACTTAACTGATTAAAATGAACAAGACGATAGACTGTGACAATTCGCCACCAGTTAAGTAAGTTTCGTAATAATGAACACATAATATTATGTACAGTTGACTTATAACCAATTCTGAACAAAAATAGTTACTACATTGTAATCTTTAAGTCGATTTTTGTTCATTTTTGCTGTTATAATAACCAAATATTTAAAATAAACTGGTAAATTACAATTGCTTTGTTCTCTTACCTAAATCTATAACTTCTTGATAGAAGAAAGGTCTTCCACTCAAACCGTTTCCTGTCAGATTCTTAACGCTGTCATAAATAGCTTTCAGATCAGCGGGCCACATGTGCTTGGCAGCATCCACTCTAAATCCTGCGACTCCCAAATCTACTAAATGGTTCAGGTACTCAACAATTTTTTTACGAACATATTCGTGACTCTGTAAACAAAAATGTATAATACATAATAATATCTAATAATTCATTTATATATAAAAAAAAAGTATGCTGAAGATTATTAAAAAGTTAGTGTATTATGTGGTAAAAGAAGTGGTAAAATTAGATGAAACAATTCTGTATATTTTCTTACACATGATCAAGGTAATGTGGGAGACTCTGAATGCCATTCACAGAAGAATCGAGTTTTTAAGAAACTATAATAATTTTAAAAGAAAATCCACTTCATTTGTTTATTTAGACAAAATTTGGATTATTGCTAAAGGTGGGATAAAACGAATTTGGTAGGAAGAAAATATCAAATCCATAAAACACACCAATGCTTAAGAAAATACATGTGCATGCGGGTGGAAAACATGATCTTATTGATGGAGCGGATATTGTGTTTTCGTGAAAAACAAAACCGACTGCTTATAACAGTAATATGAATACAAAGATGTTTGTGAAATTATTAAAATAAACACTGCTTTTAAGTTTAAATAAACCATCCGTTATAGTTTTGTATAATGCCCATCATTCGGAAATTTTAAAGAAGCAACCAACAAATCTGGATAGTAGGTACATAAAATAAAAGAATGGTTAACAAATAAAAATATGTTATTTCCTTAGGATTCTTTCAAGCCGTAATTATTACAATTATAGTGTATTTTTATGTATGAGAGAGTAATAAAACAATAAATTATGTATGCAAATCCCTAAACTGTTGATACGGGTGACTCAATGAAAAACAGGTATTTGTCAACAAGTTTACAAAAGTATATAGGAAAACAATTTTAAATTGAGTATGACCACCAGGTATAAAGGTTGGAGCAGAATAGAATACAATAGTTGTGAGGGTTACTAATCCCTAAATAAGGTTGCCAGTGTCGGAGTGATGGAGGTTAACAGGTACTACAAGTACCTACCTATTTGCAAAATAAAGTTTAATTCTTTAGATAAAATAAAACGTTTTATTTTATCTGAAATGAGTGCATTCCACGAAGTAAGGGTTTCAACAATCAAACATTTAATTCTTTAATTCCAGGAATCTACGACAGTAATCGACTAGATAATTACCTTCTAAACTTATTCTACAGAAAATGTGATAGTGGGTTTTTCCATTTTGTAGGAAGGTCCAAGTGGCGTATTCAAAATTCTTAACAGTTCACTAAAAGTAGGTACTTCAGTTGCAAGGTGCAGTTTATTGTGTATACTAGTGTTATGGAAAATTTGGAAATGCCGTGTAAACGCCGAAAAATTGGTCCTTTAACAGTTAATGAAAAAACATTAATATTTAATTGTTTTAAATCATTTACAGACAAACGTTTATGTGAAAGTGTTGATGAGACCGTTGAGTTAGTTAGCAGTACACTTGGTGTTGGGAAATCTACGATTTACAGAGTTATTAAAGAAGAGAAATGTGGTAGTTAGAAAAAAAGGACTTCGACGGAAAGTGTATGAATTCTTCTTTAGACAAGAATTTCCAACATTGGATAAAGTTCTTGTCTCAGTTCGAGATGATAAGGATTACCCAGAAATGAGTCGAAGTTCGTTATGGAAACTTTTAAAAGAAATAGGCTTCCGCTGGAAAAAGAATCCCAGAAAGTCTATTTTATTAGAAAGAAGCGATATTGTCATATGGAGAAGACATTTTCTAAGAACCATAAAGGAAATGAGAAACCAAAAAAGAAAAATATTTTATCTTGATGAAACATGGATCAACGAGGGTCATACACGAAATAAATTTTGGCAGGATGAAACTGTTACAAGTCAAAGGCGCGCTTTTGTAAATAACTTATCTACTGGTTTAAACCCACCATCAGGAAAGGGACGCAGGCTGATAATAGTACACATTGGCAGTTCAGACGGTTTTGTTGAAGGTGGTTTATTAACTTTTGAATCAACTCGTACCGGTGACTACCATGAAGACATGAACGCTGATGTCTTTCAAGAATGGTTCGAACAAATGATAGATCTTCTTCCTAAGAACTGTGTAATAGTAATGGATAATGCAAGTTATCACTCCAGACTTATAGAAGGACTGCCCACAACCAAGTGGTTAAAAAAAGACTTGTAGAATTGGCTGAGTTCAAAAAATATTACGTACCATCCCGGATCTATAAGAAAGGAACTTTATTCGTTGTGTGCCCTTCATAAAGAAAAATTTAAAAAATACGAAATTGATGAAATTGCCAAAAATCGTAGAATGGCAGTACTTAGATCCCCACCATATCATTGTGAACTAAACCCGATTGAACTGGTATGGGCACAGATAAAGAGTGAAGTTTCAAGAAAAAATACCACTTTTAAAATTCATGATGTTAAACAGTTGTTTTTGGAGGCCGTAAATAATGTAAAACCTGAAAACTGGGAAAAGGCAGTAAATCACACTATTAAAGAAGAGGAAAAAATGTGGAAGCTGGACAATATTACTGATAAAATGATCGAGCCAGTTATTATAAATCTTGGTTCTGAAAGTTCATCTTCTGAATCTGATTTGGATTTGTAACAAGTAGCTGTAAGTTTTATATTAATATTTTTATTCATCTATTTAACATACCTTAGACGGTTTTAAAAACTCTGTTTCTCTTTTGTAATTTTTAATAATTAAAAAAAATGTGAATTTTTTAAAACCCTTTTTAATGTAGGCCAGTCAGTTCTAATATAGTGTGTGATAAAAGAGGTCACTTTTGTTTACATACACATAACACTTTATAACACTGAAATAATTCATTTATTTTTTACAATTATTCAAAGTAATTTTTCAATTAATCTTGAGCACGCCCATGGAGTGGTCGAAGGTACCAGTTAAAATTATGCTAATTACTCTCTCGTTCATAAAAATAAACTATAGCTAAAGGAAGTGAAAACCAAATATATTTATAGGAGACGACTTTATACATAGTTTTGGACACAATGTTAACGCCGAATAACGGGATAGCAAGCCAGGCGACTGCCCGAAGCGTCAAATATAAAATATTTACTTACAATCAATATTTTTTTAGATTTTATATTATTTAAAATTGGTTATTTTTCATAAGATATTTTTAGTTATTAGGCCAACAGTCTGAGGTTACTTTGTAGTACATTCCGATCAAGAAGAATAATAAGCAGTGGCTAACTTTTATTACTTGGGGGGTAAGAAATATATATTACGAATATATACATATATAATTTCATTAAAATCGGTCAAGAAATTTCAAAGGAGTAAGGCAACTATAATCTACAAGGAAAAAGAAATTCTTGTAGTTGGCTGTATACCATGAATCACAAAAATTTTATTTAAAAATCCTTTATAAAAGGTATATAATAAAACATATCCTTTTGGGCTGTCACAAAACGTTTTCTAACAGAAAAGCCCATCAACACTTTAATATTACATTTTTTTATCTCTGAGGTGGACGTTTCTAAAAAACCGAACCTGGTAAACCCATTAGTAAGGTAAGGTAAGGCCATTCCTAGGAATTGATCGATTAATAAAAAAGAGAATAAAAGAAGCTAAGGAGAGAATGTTACATGAGCAGTGCCAAGAACTAGAAGAAATTGAGAAAAAATATGACTTTTTTAACATGCATAAAAGAATTAGAGAATTAACAGGAATGAGAAAAACACTTCAAACTAGGCAACTAAGAGATGAAAGGGGTGCACTTATAACAGATATAAACCAAAAAATGCAGAGATGGACACAATATATAGCACAACTATTTGAAGACAAAGAAAGAACAGAAGCACCAAAAGAATTTAAGGATGATACTGGGCCTGACATTATACGAGAAGAAATTGAATATGCAATGAAACAAGCTAAAGATGGTAAATCTCCCGGCCTGATGAAGTTCCTATCGAATTACTTAAAATTGTGAATACTGAATCTATTGATCTTCTTTTGGATCTATTCAATACCATATATAGAACAGGTATAATACCTAAAGAATGGCTCCAATCAACATTCATACTGCTTCCCAAAAAAGCCAATGCAAAGGAGTGCAATGAACATCGCACCATAGCCTTAATGAGTTATGTCTTGAAATTGTTTTTAAAAGTAATTCACAATAGAATACATAAGAAATTAGATGAAGGCATAAGTAATACACAAATGGGATTTAGGAAAGGTCTGGGAACACGAGATGCACTGTTTGCAGTAAGTGTTCTTTCGCAGAGATACTTAGATATTAATCAGGAAGTATATGCCTGTTTCATTGATTTTGAGAAGGCATTTGACAGAGTGCAGCATCATCGACTTAAAGAAATTTTATTAAATAAAAACATAGACAGTAGAGACATTAGAATCATCTGTAACCTCTATTGGAATCAAACAGCAAAAGTGAAAGTTAAAAACGAACTGACCAAGGATATCCAGATTCGCCGTGGGGTCCGCCAAGGGTGTATTTTATCACCCTTGTTATTCAATTTATACAGTGAAGCCATCTCAGAATTAGGGCTTGCCGAGATCAGTGAGGGCCTTATAATAAACGGTGAGCCACTTAATAACATAAGATATGCTGACGACACCGTCCTTTTGGCAGGAACACTAGAAGAACTGCAACACCTTGCTGAACAACTAAATATATATTGCAACGATTATGGACTAAAAATCAATTTGAAGAAAACCAAGTTCATGGTATTTACAAAAGCACAAAACATCAAAGTTAAGCTAGTACTAGATAATACAGAAATTGAACAAATATCTTCGTACAAATACCTTGGAGCATGGATCACAGAAGATACTGATCAGACAAAAGAAATAAGATGCCGCATTGAAATTGCGCGGTCAACTTTTAATAGAATGGGAAAACTTTTTTGTAATCGCGATATCAATATATCGCTCCGGATAAGAATGCTTCGATGTTATATTTTCTCTACCCTTTTGTATGGAGTTGAAGCTTGGACACTTAAAAAATCCAACATTAAAAACCTAGAAGCATTCGAAATGTGGTGTTACCGACGCATTTTGAAAATATCATGGATGGATCGCAAAACAAACGAACAAGTTCTCGAACAACTAGGAAAACAATGCGAAGTTTTAAATTCCATAAAGATCAGGAAATTGGAATACTTGGGGCACATCATGAGAGGTGAAAAGTACGAACTACTAAGGAATATAATGCAGGGTAAAATCAAAGGTAGAAGAGGCGTAGGAAGACGTAAAATCTCGTGGCTACGCAATCTCCGTGAGTGGTTTGGATGCAGTTCAATTGAACTATTCAGGCGAGTAACCAATAAAATTATAATTGCCAGAATGATTTCCAATCTCCGATAGGAGTGGAACTTGAAGAAGAAGAGGAATGGCTGACATGTGTTGGATTCAGGGTAGAGGAATATATCCGAGACCATTTCTCCTTAGAAGAATGAGGTTCTGCAAACAGATGCCTTTCTGTTAACCTGCCTATCAACTAAAACCACCCTCTCTTACTTGTGCGCAGTTGATTGTCGCACGTACCGTACTCCGACAGTGGGATAGCCGCTTTAAGAGTGACGACACATTCCGAGCACTACCTTCTCTATATCTATATCTAGAATCTATGAAGATATGTCCTAAATCACCCATGTCCTGTAAGCACTTGCGTCAAGAAGTAATCTAGTCGCCTCTGACCACTGTTCATCCAGTCCCTTAGGCTTGGTGTCAGCATCTTGGTCCACTGAGCAACATCTTTCATGTTGTTTCACTCTTCTTGCCATTTTTCTATTGATATTTCTCTTTCTTGTTTTTTATGGCTGCTGTCAAATATTTTCTTCTCTCATAGAGATGTCTCCTTGCTGCTCTTAACACATGCAGAGGAATACAACGCGTGGTAGTCCACAAGATCACCACATATACAGTCCTGTAGGCGCACGCTACTTGCAACAGACTTGTTCTGTCTACTCGTATCATGAGTTCTTTGTAGGTCGGTATCTATGTTGCCTCATTCCAGATTGGTGCCGTTAAGGATTATTGATTTCACAAAACCGTGTAAGGCCCTCCTCCTTTCTGATTTTGTCATTTAATATTAGGCATCACCCCCCCTCATAGTAGCCGCACTCTTCGCTGCCTTTTAGGCTACCACTCGTATATGCTACTCTCATCCGCCATATTGCTGTAGTGTCACTTCCAGATATTTGAGGCATTTTTTTTATGTTAGTTGGACCCCTACACATAGGAGTTCCATCCCTTATCTTTTCCATTTACCCTTTAGAATGATGGCTGCGGTCTTCTCTGCTGCGAGTTCTAGTCCGTAGTCTGTCATCCAGTCCTTAACAACGTTGCCCGTATATCTTACCCGAAATCGGAGATCCGGTTCGTCCCGCGCTATTATCAGCACAGCGAGATCATTCGCAAAAGCGAATGGGATTATACCTTCTCCATATTAGCAGTTAATGACTCCGTCATATGACAGGTTCCATAGCATCGGACCCAAGACCAACCAGGACCCAAGACTCTTCTCAACCACGATCTTTCTCTCGGAAAGATATTCCGTCATCACATTCATCAGATACTCTCTTCCTCTCTTCCAACGCCCTCAACATCTCTTTCCACTACAGTGTTGAATGCATTTATAAAATTGAAGAGCAACAGAGCCGCCCAGCGCTGCTTGTCCCCAATATTGTGTAATGCCTCGATTACACTTAAAATTGCGTCAACTGTACCCTTCCCTTATCTCCTTATCTCTTAATTGTATTGAGAGTTGAACCATCTTTGCATCATCGTCTCGTGCAACTTTCCGATTCATGGGAGGAGACATAGGGGACGATATTTTTTGGCTAAAAATAAAAAAAAAATAGTTGGAGTGATCCACCATTACCCCTTAGGAGCATGAAAAATAATTTACAACCTATTCTGAAACCTACCGAATATATATATATATAATATATATATATATATATATATATATATATATATATATATATATTATATATATATATATATATATATATATTATATATATATATATATATATATATATATATGTAAAATTTCATAGAAATCGACATAGTCATTTCGGAGGAGTATGGCAACTCACTCTGACACTAATATGACTATTAAAAATAGAAGTTAGTAGTGGTCAGATTAAATTAAGGCTGTATGCATTTTTTCTATAGCGAGACTTCAAGTTCAGGTGAAAAATAGAATTTCAAAGAAAATTGTAATTTTTAGCACAAAAATCGCAATTGTGTTGCTCGGTTGCTAGGGATATGAATTACTTTGTCAACAAATGTCAAACAAATGTTACAGAAAGTCAATCCAGTACCTCGAATCAAGTGTTTAAGCAAACGAGTACAAGTTGTGATGCTCCAAAAATAGATATTTCTAATAATGTTAATTGTAAAATTTCAGTTCTTCTTAATCATTAAGTGTTTGAATTTGTAAATTTTATTGAATAAAAAAAATTAAAACATTTTATCTACTCTTGCTGTTAGTGTCACTTTATCTACCCTTGCGGTTAAAGTGATACTTTATCTACTCAAAGCAGTTGTTATAGCAACCCAAAATACTTATCGGGAAATGATAAACCAAGGTGCGAGCTTGAACTTACGTCCTTGGTAAATTCAAAATAGTTGTGTTTTTGAGTATTGAAAATCATAATTTTGTATTTTTTTTTTTAGTTTTAAATTGTTTATAACCTGAAAACGATCACGTAAACAAATAAATTACAAAGACGTATTTTGTTCAGATTGGCCGAAAAAAATCATTGTTACAATTTGTTGAAAAAAAATTGCTTAAAAGTTTAAACAACTTTCGCCTAAGCGACATTTAAACGACTTGTCTATATAGGTACCGACCTTTATTTAATTTCAATAAGAATGATTTTTGTTAATATATCAGCAGTATTGTATGTTTTCGGTATGATTACTTAATATTACCGGTGGGGACTTTTGAGCTTTAATTTTATTTATTTGGTGAGATGATATATTAAAGGAGAAGAGACATTTATTTTAAAATATACAGCGGAGAGTACAAAGAAGAAAGGTTAAAGGCATTGAATGTTAAAAGTATAAAATATTCTTCTTCCTTTCTATAGCTTTTCCTTTATGGTTTCGCCTTGCCCTCTGTGCCTCAGCTTCTACCTTTTCACGTTCCTCACAGTTCTCATTTCTTGAACCTTTTTTAAAACTCTTGCTTGTAGAATTGTAATCACGTAGTTTCTGATTTTGCCCTTCTAATCTTACCAAATATCCACCGTAACATTTTTGTTTCAACTACCATCATCTTTTATTTTCCTGAACCTTCTTTACAGGCAATACTTCACCGCCATACACAACGCGGGCCTCACCACACTCTTGTATATCTTTCGGCAATTTCTGAATCTATTGCCTCATTTTCAGTTACGTAGGAGCGAAGGTATTTAAATTTTTCTACACACTAGTTTTCTCCAAGCAATTAGATGTCCGCAAAGATTTCTGTTCAGTATCAAATATTATTTGTAATAAAAAGATGACAGTAATAGTAGTATATTGAATTTCTTATCTAATTTATCAACATAATCAACACAATCAATCAAATATACAAACCTGATCCAAATCTGGTAATCCACTAAGCGAACAGTTTCTAATATTGTTCGATTCTTGATAATTATTAATTTCACAAGGAGAATGGAAGTGGTTCGGCCCAAATGGTACTGCTGGATAGGATAAAGAGCCAACATCAGATGAGTTTCCACCGGTACCACTACCAGTAGTCCCTGACATGTGGTTAATGACAGCATCGACGTAGATTCTATGAAGTATAAGTAGTTGAGATTATGAAAAAATTAACTGGACGATTAAAAGTTTAATGACATATACAAATTATAATTGGACAATCCATAATAAACATAAGATATTAAAAATAAAACGCTACATAAAAAAAAAACATCTAATAAAACTGAAGTTAGCCATCGGTATAGCAAACACCTTTTAAATGTGATTTTTACAACTTTTACTCTTATAAAAGAGGCGATGGGCGTATATCTAGTAAATGTTTTGGGTCAAGTAAATGTTCAATAGCAAAGAGAAATAAATATGTTACCTTGTTGAACTCAGTGAATAAATGAAGTTGAACAATGTTTAATAATTAAATCAGTTGAGAAATAAATGGATTTTAGAAATAAAATCGAAGTGTTTCAATACTAAATTAATAGCTTTATTGTCTTGGTTCATAATAAAACAGCAAATCGTAATGCATAATGAGAGTAAAACTATAAACTTAATATAGACTGATATACAATCAGTGCATTAAATGAACAGTAAAATAAAAGCACATATTAGAGTAAAAAAAACAGTGAACATCAGCGCGTCATCAATATTAATTCGAGAAATAGTAGTCTTTCGAAAGTTCTTCGAATCTTTGGCAACAGTTCGTCGGCAATACGTGATACTATCAAAAAGGAAGGCACAATATTGTGATAATTATAGTTCGTATCGGATTTCAAAGCAAAAAGTAACCCAAAAAAAGCATAAACATAAGCGTATAAATTTGAACAAACGTTTTTTACGAAAATTAGTATATAAAACATATTAGTTTATAATATAAGAATATAAGAGTCAGTAAGTACCTATCATAAATTTAATAATAATATACAGTGTGTTCCAATTAAAATTTGACCCGCCCAGAAACTTAGAAACCAAAAGTTTTTCAAAATTAACAAAAAAACACGCCAATTTGTATTGTGAGGGGGACCAAATATAAACACCAGTTTTTTTTAAATAGCAAGTGTGGTCGAGTGGCACATCATTTGAAAGGTATTTTTTTCTCTACACGATACTTTTTTTTTAATTTGCGAAATAACTGTGAAGATAATTTTGGCTAATTTATATTTGAACATTAGTAATAACAAAAAACATAAAATTTCATTAAATTAACCAATTTAATGTTCGAAATGACCTGTGACCTCCATACAATAATACAGTATATTTTAAAGGCCCCTTTGTACATTTGCAAATAACTTCAGTGTGAATAATCGGCATTCTGTCACAATTCTTTGTCGCAACTATGCAAGATCTACAGGCGGAGTGGCGTATATTTTTGATATTAGTTGTCCCCACAAAAAAATCTAAAGGCGAAAGATTCGGTGATCTAGCCGACCACTCTATTGTACCCCTTCTGTCAATCCAACGCTCTGGAAAAAGTTGATTCAAAAATTGTCTTACGCGAATATCATAATGTGGGGATGCCTTGTCCTGTTAGAAAGTAATTTTATCGTTTAAAAGATTATCATCAGATTCCAATGTGTCAGTGATCAACGCATCAATAACGTCTTCTAAAAAGTTTAAATAAGTTATTTCGTTGAGATATCCTTAAAAAAAATAGTGGTCCAATAACGCGATTCCCCAAAAATTCCAACTCATACGTTTAGTTTCTGAGTTGTTTGTGTATGCGTCGTAATGAATAAATGAGGATTACTGTTACTCCACTTGGTTGTTTTTATGATTTCACTAAATTCTTCACAAATTTGACGTCGAAGATCAGGATCATCTAGTTTAATTGATGAAGTAATCGTATTTTATGAGGGTAAAATTTATAGGATTTTATAATTCGATAAATACTAGATTATCATAGACCGAATACCCGAGATAGTAGTCTGATAGACTGTCGATTATCCGTTTGTCAATTACCCAAAACCGCCACTTCAACTGCTTCATTTCGCAATCAACGGTCTACTTCATACTTTGTGTTGTTAACGTCACTTATAGCTTAAGACTTATCAGTTTAATGTATGGGTGACTTATGTTTTTTCTGGATTTTCCGCAGACTTAGCACACGATTATTTGAATACGATAAGGTCTTAAAATAAACATTCCAAAACAAAAAAAAAAACAAAATTCATGACAAACCTAGTACCTTGCGGAAATATCAATATTGGAGACAACGAAGTGGAGCTGGTGGAAAAATACATATATCTTGGACAAGATATAAAGATCACAAGAGACAACCAAACATGCGAACTACCAAAAAGAATAAACCTAGCATGGGCAGCCTATGGAAAACTCAAACACATATTTAAAAGCAATATACCAATTTCTTTAAAACGTAAAACATTAGCCCAATGTGTGTTGCCTGTGATGACCTATTGTGCCGAAACTTGCCTTTAGCTACAAGTCCTAAAACGCTGCAAATAGCTCAGACGAAAATGGAAAGATCAATGCTGAGTATATCGCTTCGTGACCGAGTTAGAAATGAATACTTAAGACGAAGAACAGGAGTTACCGATGTAATTTCCCAAATTGCCGCACTGAAATGGAACTGGGCCGGATACGTCGCCCGAATCAGTGATATAAGGTTGACGAACAGATTGCTTAAGTGGAGGCCGAGGAGAGACAAAAGAAGTAGAAAAAGGCCCCCTACACATTGGACTGACGATCTCAAGAACATGTCAAGAAATTGGATGAAAAGTGCTCAAGATAGAACACAATGGACCAACATGAGGGAGGCCTATATCCAGCAGTGGACGCAAAGCGCTGGATGATGATGATGACGATAAAAGTTGTGATTTCTATTAAGTCCATGTTTGCTGCAAATTTTTGAAAACATTCATTAATTTGAAATAACGTGCAGCAATTAGCTTAAATCGAAATATGTGGAGGATGGTTGTTTAAGGGACTTCTATCATGTATAGTTTTTCTACAAGTAAAAATGAAATCCACGTATTGCTAAAGATCCTAGAACGTGTATATATGTGGAATTATCCTTCTCTAATAGGTAAGCAGCGCGATTGTCTTGGATATACTAGTTCTGGCAACAGATTATTCATACAAAACTTACTTTTGGAAATATTTTTGTTGTCCAAATTTGTTGATCCCTCGGAATATCTTTAATTTTTCTCTGTGGTGTCTAAACCACAAAATAACATTTCTCTCTTTTAACGATATGCAACTGACCCTAAATCTGGTAATAGTAGTCATGATTGCGTTTTAATTCAATTTTATTGGTGTAATATAATAAATTTATTTTAGACAAACACTAATTCACTATGGATCAACACTAACGAATTCCAATATCTTCCATATAATTCCAGAAAATAATATCCATAATCCACATCCAAAATAATATTCCAATATCTTCATGAACAGACCAGAATCGTGCTATTACTTACACAGAAAACAGACGCAGGTGTGCACATTCTGCAAATGTGATGGCAGTGCGGTGACTATTTCTCTATTTTGCCAACTCACTCAGTTAAGTTCTTGATTTCTTAATTTCTTGTTACAGATAATCGATTTTAGTAATTCCAATGTGACACAAAATCTAGACATGAGATAAAAAGTTTGTTTGAAGAAAGCGTATTTTTTTGTTTTTCTTAATGGCAGTACAGACTCATTTTTGTAATATTTTATTTAGTTATAGAGCAATTTCCACATATTAACATATTTTTTTAAATTGAGCTCTGTACTACCATTCTTTGACACAACTAGAATGTCATGGCCATGGATGGTGTACTGTTATTAAATATTATATTTAAATAATGGCATTGAATTTTTCCTGCTAAGTAAATTCAACAATTTTTATCAGTACTTGTTTATTGTATTTTATTACTAATTTAGTAAAAGGAAAAACTTTCAGTGTAACTAAGATGTAAAAATCAGTGCAAAAAGACCATTTGATATTAAATTTAATTTGTATTTTTACCTGACTCCTGCGTTATTACAACGTCGCACCATATTAGCAAATGCACTTTCATCTCCAGATCGAGTAGTCAGTTTGTAGCTTACTGGTTGGTATCGTTCCCACCATGGTCTGCCACCTATCACAGAATTCTCATTTGGTGGAGATACCTAAAATAAGATTTACTATATAAAATCGGGCATTCTCTATTTTTGGTACTAAAGAAGTTTCTGCATTCTCTAAACAGTTTATTTAAATAAAAAAAATTCAAGAATAAGAAGATAAGTGTTAATCCTTTAGGTAGTAGCAAAAAACAAATACCTAATAGAATGTGGTTCCAGCCATATAATTATTATAGAAAATATCATTACTATAACAGGTCTTCTTTTTGGCCACGCCTGTTATCTCAAAGACCTGCATAACATTTTTGTACTCGAAAAGATCATTCTTAAAATTGTGACAATGATGGTGATTTAGACTTTCTATATGAAACATACCATTTTATTCAACATTTACATGACCATAGCATACAGGCTTAATGTAACCTTCTAGCTAAACTCTAGTGTTAGCGACCACTTACGTAGCCAGTACCGACAACTTTACGTGCCCTCCAAAGTACGATTTTCTCATTTTCACGAGAGAATTTATAATGCCTTAGTGGAAAACTATTAAAGAACAAATGAACAATGTAACGGAAAAACATCTAAAAGTAATACCTAGAAATAACAAACAGGAATTGATGACAGAAGAGATTTTACAATTAATGAACAAACGAAGAGAATCTAAAGGAAAAAATGACAAGGACGGAGAACACAAAAGACTAAATAGAATAATTCGAAAAAAAAATAACCGAAGCAAAAGAGAAATGGCTGGAAACAAAATGCGTTGAAATAGAAGAACTGCAACAAAGGCACGATTTTTTTAATTAACATAAAAAGGTAAAAGAGTTTACATCGACTACCAAGAGAACGACTTTTCACACCATGCTGAACACGGATGACAAACTGCTAGAATCAACGGAAGATAAACTGAAAGAATGGGAAAATTATATTAAAATTCTTTTTCACGACATACGAGAAGAACCAAGATTGGAAAATAACAACGAAGGGCCAACAATTCTGAAATTTGAAATCATAAATGCAATTAATCATCTCAAAACAAATAAAAGCCCAGGTCAAGACGGAATATACCCAGAAACGTTCAAATTAATCAGCGAAGAAAATATCTAAATATTTGTCCTTTTATTCATTCGCATTTATGATACAGGTAAAATACCCCAAGATTGGCTGGAGTCGATAATTATCCCACTACCAAAAAAGTCAAACCCACAATACTGCAATGAGTTCCGTCTGATAAGCCTTATGAGTCATGCAGTAAAAGTCCTACTAAAAATCGTACATAATCGTATCTATAGAAAATGCGAAACAATCATCGGAGACGATCAGTTTGGATTCAGAGCCGGTATGGGAACGAGAGAAGCCCTGTTCAGTTTACTAGTTCTCGCCCAAAAATGCTACGACCAACAGAAAGATATATTTATATGCTTTATAGACTTCGACAAAGCATTTGGTAGAGTAAGACACGACCTACTATTAGAACGTTTGCAAGATGGAAAAGACATCAAATTCTTAAAAAACTTATACTGAAACCAAAACGCTTACGAGTTAGGATCGAAGGTTCCACATCCGCAGAAGTAGAACTTAGGAGGAGAGTTAGACAAGGATGTGTTCTGTCGCCTCTGCTGTTTAATCTTTACTCCGAGTTTCTATTTAAAGAAGCATTGGAAGATTCCAAGGATGGAGTCAATGTGAATGGCGTAAATATCAACAGTATCAGATACGCCGATGATACAGTGTTAATTGCGGATCCCGACTCAGGTCTACAATGACTCATCGACAAGACCAACTCAACCTGTGAGCAATTTGGTATGAAAATAAACATTAAAAAAACCAAAGTGATGTCAATCCGAAAAAACCAAAACGTACCTCAACCTTGCACAATAAATGGGCACATCTTAGAACAGGTCAATAGATTTAAGTATCTGGGATGTTGGATCGATAGCAGCCTAAATCCTGATTAAGAAATAAGATCGAGAATAGAACAGGCCAGAAAATCTTTCGAAAAAATAAAAAAACTGATTTGTGATTCTCGAATAAAACTCGAAATTCGACTACGTTTATCAAAATGCTACGTCTGGTCGACTCTTCTATATGCAGTTGAAACGTGGACCCTTAAAACATCAACCGTAAATAAATTGGAGGCCTTTGAAATGTGGATCTACCGGAGAATACTCAAAATTTCATGGACATCGCATACCTTAAACGAAGAAGTGCTGGATAGAATAGGCAAGGAAAGAGAACTTTTTAACACAGTAAAAGTTAGAAAAACATCATTCCTAGGCCACATACTGAGAAATAATAAGTACCAATATGCCCAACTTATAGTGAAAGGAAAAATCGAGGGAAAGAGAGGCCTAGGAAGGAAAAGATTATCGTGGCTCAGAAACATCCGACAATGGACAGGGTTAAATTTTAAACAGCTAATAAGAACAGCTGAAGATAGAGAAGAGTTTAAAATTGTAGTAGCCAACCTCCATTGAGGAGAGGGCACTTTAAGAAGAAGAAGTGAATTGTGTGTCAAGTTCCAAAATAGCTCTGTAGTGTCTTTAATAGATTAAGTTTATCTTGCCACCACTGTGTATGTTCCAACCATATTATGTAAATTAGTAACCTTCTTGTCGTGGTTCAGTGTTATTTGTCGAATATATGAAGATGTTGGCGTGAAAATGATGCAAGCCACAAAATCTAAAAAAGTTGTATTTTCGGTGCAAATATTTCAAAATATACGGTACAAGCCACATACAACCTATTTTCGAATAGATGGCTATGGTGCGACAAAATAACCTTTTCACAATATCGCTAGACGGTGAATACTTTCATAACACCGGTACAAGCCACCATCATAAATTAAATACGTGCTGGGTGTTCTCGCGATTTTTATAAGTTTTCTAGTGATTTAAGCGACAAAAATCAGCTTATGTTTAACTCAGATGGTAGTATCAAGGACAAGGACTATTGAGAGTGATATTGGAAACAGTTCATCATCCTCTTAGGAACAACAGCTAAGTTTGTTAAGTTATGTGGCATGCCCACTTTTTCTAAAAATTTAGGCGATAAAATTTTGCAAGTCGTGTGGCTTATTTTGTGGCATGTACCATTTTCCCTAAATTTTATTAAATCGGTACTTGTCTTTGGGGGTATGCTATGGTTATTTTTACAGTGCCGGAACCGCATTTTCCGACGAATTATTTGCGGTTTGTTAAAAGATTAAATTTGGTTGATAAATGAAAATTTTCACTTCTGACATTTTTAAAGATCCTCTTAACCGTTTGTTATTATTTACAAGAACCCAATAAAAATTGCCGCGCTGATTTTCCTACCCCTGATAAAAAGTCAGGGATAGGTGGCGATAGAAAAATATGGATACATATGCATTAAGAAAAGCACGTCGAAATCTTGGTTCACCATATACAAGTAAAACGGGAGAAGATGTTGCAGCTGGAGTTTTGGGCCCATCTTGCGGATGCAATAAAAACTGTAGGATATTGCTGCAAGGCACGGAAAACAAAATTTTTGACGAATTTTGGAATATTGGAGACTACGGCAAACTGAATGCTTATTTATACCATAACATTAAGCAGCTTCAAAAAAAAGGTCATATCCAAAAAAAAACAAGAAAAATATTTCTTTTCGGAATTCCACTTTCAACTATTTTGTAAAGGTAAATGGATTGGATGTGAAAATATGCAAAAAAGAATTTATTTCATAAAAAACAAATGCATGAAGGCTTTACAGGACCTAAATCAGATCAACGAGGAAAATACTTGAACCAGCATAATAAAATATCTGAAGAACCTTTCCAGTCAGCTCGGGACCACAATAGCAGTACAAAAGCCGAGAAAAGAAATAAAAATCCGAACAAAGGATACATTGACCAATATCTCAATATATCTTCTATATTACGACTATTAAAAGCCCTGGTGTGCCGAAAAAAATATAATACCCATAAGTCAAGATAAATACAGAAGGATATTTATTTTGTTTATAATTTAATATTGGATTTAAACTACCCAGGAGTGACACCTGCAAAATATGCGATGAAATTGATGTGAAGATTAAAAACTCTATAGAAGGTGAAGATTATGTGAAGCAGTTAAATATAGAAAAAGAGTTACATTTAAGATGAGCTGAAGCAATGAAAAACACTTTAAAGCATGAAATGAAATTGGCTGCTTCAAAAGATACATACATATTGTCATTTGACCTTCAGCAAGCACTACCTGTGCCCTCATTAAGGTAAAAGGTAAATGGAACAAAGCTTATCTGTCACTCACTCATGTGTTCCGCTCCAAAACCACATGCTGGAAATCGAAAATCAAGGTTTACAAAACTATATTAGATCAATAGTATGTTATAGATGCGAGACATGGGTAATGACAGAAAATAAAAAAAGAAAGCTGGAATTTTTTAAAAGAATAATTCAAAGGAAGGCATTTTTACCTATAAAGTAAAACAAAGATCACCGGCACCGACGAAAATATATAGAAATTTTTAAAATGTTTACAAGCCCCGACTAAGCCTAAATAAACCAAGGGTAATAATAGGTGGTTTCATGGTCATCAACCTATCTGTCAAGGATGGCAAGTTTCCAAGTGACCTTAAAACGGGAGTAGTCAGTCCAATTTTCAAAAAGGGAGATCCATGTTTGGTTGATAATTACAGGCCAATCACAGTAACAAGTGTACTCTCTAAGATTATCGAAAAGTGTATTTATAGTAAAATGTTAAATTTTCTGAATAAATATGATATCCTGAATAAATGCCAGCATGGGTTTCTTCCTAATAAATCTACAGAGAGTGCTTCTATTTCATTATTTAATTATATCCACGCTGCTTTGGATCGAAAAAGGTATGTGGGTGCACTCTTTTTTGACTTAACTAAGGCTTTTGACTCTATTGATATTGAAATTATACTGCATAAATTAGAAGCCCTTGATTTTCGGGGTTATTTCTTGAACTGGTTAAGGTCATACTTACAACATCGTAAATTCCTAGTAACAGTCGATATTAAGAAGTCATCTGTTTTTAATCTTGATCGAGGTGTACCGCAAGGCTCCGTATTGGGACCCCTAATATTTCTTTTATATGTCAATGATTTGACATATTTTTTAACTGCAGACCATATAGTTCTTTATGCAGATGATTCAACAATTGTAGTTGACGAGTCAAATGAAGTCGAACTCATATCAAAAATGAACTTAGTAGCACAGGAATTTACAACCTGGTGTAAAAGGAACTCTTTAATGGTAAATGCAAAGAAAACTATTTGTATGCAGTTCTACTCGCGCTTTAAGCTATCCCATGGTTATAAAATCACAGTTAGTTCTGAGAAAATACATTTTAGTGATACAACATTATTTCTTGGTATTCTAGAAAGTAATATGACATGGGATGAAAATGTCACTAAAGTCTGCAAAACAATGAATAAGGGTTACTATGCGATTCTTCAGTTGAAAACTCTATTTAATACCAATCAATTGATAAGTGTGTATTATGCATTGTTTTATTCATATATGGCCTATAATGTTATCTTGTGGGGAAACTCTAGAAACTCTTCTAGAGTTTTTATAACTCAAAAGAGAATTCTTAGATTGATATTCAATATTAATAATAGACAATCATGTCGTAAATATTTTATTGAACACAGGCTGTTGACTTCTCATACTTTATATATTTATAAGTGTATTATTCACGTCAAAACTAAATTTCAAAATTTTACCCTTAACTCTGACTTTCATAATTACCCGACAAGACACGGGAGGTTGATAAGCGTGTGTAAACACTCCACAACTCTCTTTGAAACTAGTCCTGATTTTGCAGGATCTAAATTTTATAATTGTTTGCCACTTAATATAAAAAATGAAAATATAAAAGCATGAGTAGATCCAATTATGCGTTTACAACCTAAATGAATATTTTGACTTAATAAAAGACTACAGAGAATAAGGACCGACGAGTTCAGAGACGCTCTATATTGCATATCTTTGTTTTTTATTTTTATATTAATCTATATTTTATTGATTTTGTTTTATGTAATTGTCCTATATAACTTGTTGATCATGCTTTATGTACTATATGACTTGTCCTATATCACAATGTGATCTGATGGGATTAATAAAGAATATTCTATTCTATTCTATTCTAAGCGTAGAACGGGCCCTGTTGAGAGTATCAGAATAACTTGCTATATTCCCAAAGCTACTATAGCGGTATAAAGAAAGGATATTATTTTTAATTTAATTTCACTTAAACAACAAATTAATTTCATGTGACAATAAAAATAAAAAACTTCACCATCAGACCCACACAATATCTAGCTATCAGTTTTCTGTATCTGCTGCAACTTGGTTACAATACTCCGCCGATCGACAGATGTACCGCACAAAAAAGGATTAAAGCTTTGTTTTTATTTCGGGCTAATACAAAAATTGCAAAATAATACTGGATAATGGACTAAATTGCAAAAAGGTTATCAAATAAACTACATAAGACCAATGTAGTTTATGATGAACAAAAATATAATTATTAAAAAAACAAAGTGATAAGGTAAAATGCAGAAATCGTAATAACTTTGCTCCGTATTAGATTGTTATATATTTTATGTTTATCTCCAAAAAATTCTTTTAGATATGCTACTTCAATAAAATTAGAAGCTAACGTGTTACTAGTTATTGTGGTCACTACTAACAGGAAAATACGATACAGCTTTGAGTTAAAAAATTATCATACCTGAACACCAGCAAATCCTTTCGGTCCCAAGAAGTTCTCACATTCACTGGCAATAGCGTCCCAGTGCCATTCAAACAGGTGTACGATCGTGTTTCTTCCTTCAACGAAATGATTTTTCTTCTGTCCAATTACATTGGAAACAGTAACACTTAAAGCGCAAAATGCTATCACGTATATTTTCATGCCGACTAGCCAGTATTCCTGCTTTAATCAAATTCTTCTACCGAATAATTATAACATTTAAATATTGTTTTATTTATACGATAAAACTGCCAATTAATTTTTTATTGATATAAAGACGGCTTTTTTGTAAATTATTTAAATTCGAGATAATTTTAAATTCAGATGTTGCAAACTAATTTACCAGTAGTGGTTAGAGATTCTTATTATAGACTATTAGTCACTTTTAAGGGATTACCGAAATAAACAAATGGCTGTTTATATCGGACTGATTGTAAATATCAAAACAGTGTTTACTGTATATACTAAGCTAAATGATGCACTTCAACGAAATTGATAAAGTATGTGTGGTTGTACTAAATGAAAGTGGTAATTAAAATTATCATTTTCGTTTTGTTGCCAAGTTTCCATATATGTTCAAGTTCTTCTTATGTTTTATGGTGACTAAAAATACACATATAGAGCAGGATATGATTGAAAAAGTGAAATGATTCTAAAATAGGACCAATTTTTTCATAGTCATAGTAAATATGTATTTTGAATCAGATTTGAATATTTTGGTTAAAAGATGCAACTTATATGTATAAATTTAGAAAATATCCTATTGTCTAATGTCGTCGAAATTGACATTTTTAATGCTATATTATTGTGGTATTATTATTATATGGGTAAAATATCCACCAACGAACATTGCAGTTCTTTCCTCTTGTCTCAGGGCCCAAGATTTACATCCGCATGTTTTTTTTTTATTTGAACCTATTCTCTATCCTTCCATTGTTGGATATAGGTTTCCCCCAGTTCTCTCCATCTTTCCCTATCTTGAGCTGTTCTCTGCCATGTGGGACCTCCTTGTTTCCTGATGTCATCTTTCCACCTCATCTGTGGTCTGCCTCTTGATCTCTTTGCATTGTTAGTATTGTGAATATTAAGTTGTTGATTAACATTTCATTTTTAGAGTTTGTGAAATTTGAGAGTTCTTTCATATTTTGGCCATCTTTCCTACAGCGACTTCTTCTTGACAATTTTCAAAAAGGGCTGTGTCGTCTGCAAAACGTAGGTTGTTTATTTTTTGGCCATTTATTGAGATGCCCTTTTCCCTTCCTTCAAGTACTCTTCTCATAATATGCTCCCCATATACATTAACTAATTGTAAGACAGTACACATCCTTGTCTGACACCTTGTCTCTTTAACTTTAACTATTCAGGTAGTGTATTCATATATAGTTCAGTGACAAGTGAAATTAAGTGTTGTGATACGACTACTTTTTTATTATCTGTCATAAGTGTTGCCATTTGACCATGTCGAACAATTTACGATAATTTAATATAGTGAGATATTAAACTTCCTAGATTTTCTATTATTTTTCTTATGTTCAAAAGATATTTTCGAGTACCTCTAACTTTAGTAAATCCAGTTTGCTCTTGACGCATTTCTCTTTGTAGGAAAGTTTTCAGTCTTTCATTGATTTAATGTAGCCATATTTTGCTCTCATGTGAGATAAGAGAAATGGTTTTATAATTGTTAAGTTTATGGAAGCTGCCAGGAATAAGTCCCTGACGTTGATCATCTTTGTATAAATCTGGGCAATATAATCTCCATGTTTCTGCTATACCTTCTCTGTTGCTTCTCAGGGTTCCTTTGTGGTCTTCACCGTATCAAGTCTGTTGTTGTGTATCGAATTTTTTTCAATAGATCTCTTAACTGATTGTTTTTTTCGCTTTTCTTAATTTTTTTGCATATATTGTAATAGTACTGTTGTTTACCAGCCTTGCATCTTCGTTTTTGTTACTTTTCTTTGTTGAGGTCTCTTAAACTGGCTTTTTCCCTTTTACCTTTGTACACTACTTCGACAAAGAATTGGGATCACTTCCTCTTTGCCATATCTTGATACTGCCGGTCGCTGCTGCCCTCTGTCAGAAATATTTAACGACCTTCCGGTCAAGGTGTAGAAAGGGCAGGATGTATGGGGGTTGGATGGTGTACAGGATTGGGACCTGTTTTCACCCAGACAGAGCTTATTAGAGAAACGGTAGATGGCAAATAGGCAGGGTAGCCAATCCCTGAAGTAGTCGTTTACTGGGAACTGTAAAATGGTACTACCCTTTACCCCAATTAATATTAATAATCTCCAAATAAATACTATAAAGCCAAATAAATAATCTAAACACACATGATAAAGCTATCTTTTAATCAAGGAAATGTATTAAAAAGGTATAAGAAAGGTAGGAAAATTCTAATCTAATTATTCAAACCGATTAAATACAACTCATATATTAAACTTAAGATATTGTATTACTAATAAGTATGTTCCAGAAAAATGTCACTTTACAGTTTTTCATTGACGTGGATAGCCAGAACACCATCATCTTCAGTAATATACAAAGAAATAGCGGCCTTACCACGTCTATTTACATTTACAGTTTTGCCTGTACAAGATCCATTTTTTAAACTACCAGAGATAACATCACAATAAGTTCCAGCCGGCAAAGAAGTTTGAAGGTTTTGATCGATGTCTCCATGTAAAGTAAAAGCGATAAAACCTTTATTTCCCCTTCCAAAAGCAATTTGTTGATGGCCGTTACTCCACCAGTTATTGATACCTGTGCCAGCTACAGCGTTTCTAAAGCCAACCATATTATAAATTTGACGCCATCTGTGTTCGCAGATCCAACCATTTGTGCATGTGTCATCAGACCTGAAACCTGGTTGTTGAACAGGTGGACCTAAAGTTTAAATACACATAAATTATTTGTAGTAGAGACTATTAAAATATGTTTCACTTATATGAGAGAGATAGGACTACATCTGTGTTAAGTTTATATTTATTCTCATTGTACTCATATACCACTAATATAAACCAGTGAATATGTAAAATATTATCGAATACCGTGAAATCAATAAATGCATAAAAAGAAAAATTAAGCAAGCCAAAGAATCCTGGCTTGAGAATTTATGTAAAGAAATAGAAGACCTTCAAAAAAAGCATGACAGTTTCAACCTCCACAAGAAACTTAAATATACTGCCGGAATTAGAAAAGAGAAAAATGCTCACATACTTAAAAGCGGGACGGAAAATTTTGTGATCACGAACAACAGTGCAAAGAATGGGAAAGATACATCACTGACTTTTTTGGCGATGCTTCTAGAGAAAATGCTCCAAATACTGCCTGTGACAACCAGTTAGACATAGGTCCCAGTATACTGAATTCGGTAGTCAAATAGGCAATACAGCAAGCTAAAAACAATAAAGAACCTGGACCAGATCAAATCCCTACTAAGCTACTTAAACTTTTGGATGAGGAAAGCATTGCCTGCTTAAGCACTTTCTTCAACAAAATTTACAACGAAGGAAAAATACCAGATGATTGGTTAGAGTCACTGTTTATAACATTACCAAAGAAAAGCAGGCCCACCAAATGCAGCGATTTTAGACTAATTAGTTTGATAAGTCACACACTGAAGATACTCTTACGAATTATACAAAACCGAGTATTCCTCCTATGCGAAAGTAGGATGGGTAATAAGCAATTTTGATTTAGAAACGATCTAGAAACTAGAGAGGCACTATTCTGTATGCGCGTTCTATTAGAAAAAAGTTGTGAATTCCGAAAAAATGTTTATGTTTGTTTCATCGAGAAGGCGTTCGACAGAGTACAACACTATACACTTTTCGATTGCCTACGGGCAGCAGGACTTGACCACTATGATAAAAGACTGCTGAAATACTTACAATCAAGTAGCCTCTATCCAAATTGGGGACAGTCCAACTGAAAAAATATCCATCAAACGTGGAGTACGGCAGGGTTGTGTTTTGTCACCCACTCTTTTTAATCTGTACTCGGAAGAAATCTTTAGGGAGGCTTTGGATGACAGACAAGAGGGAGTAAGACTAGGTGGAGAAGTAATCAACAATATTAGATACGCTGACGATACAGTCATTCTTGCAGAAGATTTACAAGATCTCCAAACATTACTAAATCTAGTAGGTGAAGATAGTTATCGAAGAGGCCTTAAAATCAACATTTCAAATACAAAGTGGATGGCAGTTGGAAAGATCAATATAGATCAAGGTCTGATTTCTCTTAATGGAGAGGAGATCGAAAGGGTAAATCATTTCAAATACCTTGGCAGCTGGTTAAATGTAAATTGTGATTCTGATGAAGAGATAATAACCAGGATCAAAATATCACGTAAGGCTTTTAAGACGTGGAAACCAGTTTTATGCAACAGAAACCTGTCGATGAGAATTCGTAAGAAGGTCCTTAAATGTTATGTGTGGTCCATCCGATTGTATGGTTGTATGACATGGACGTTAAAAACCACAATGCTAAACAAGTTAGAAGCATTCAAATTGTGGTGCTATAGACGAATCCTAAAGATATCGTGGGTTTCGCACACTTCCAATGAAGATGTTCTTCAAATGATCAATTCAGAACGTCTGCTCATAAACACTATAAAGAGAAGAAAAACAGAATACTTCGACCATATAATTAGAGGACCTAAATACCATTTACTCCGCCTTTAAATACAAGTAAAAGTGGAAGGAAAGAGATGGACTGGTCGAAAGAAACTTTCATGGTTGTGTAATGTTAGACAATGGTGTGGTTCCACAGTAGAAGAATTATTTCGCGCAGCAGCCGACAGAGAAAGGTTTCAGGAAATTGTAAACATGATGACAGCCAACGTCTGAATACGGACACGGCACCCAAAGAAGAAGAAAAATATGTAAATGTATTACAATTTTTAAAGATATTAAACTTTATCCTCCTCAATCCTTTAGCCCTTGTCAGGGCGTAGTGACACCCTAAATATTATTAGTATGCTGTCTCCATTGACTGCGATCTTGTGCCATATGGACGGCTTCATGTAGGGATTTTCCCACCAAACTCTTCATTTGGTCCACCCATCGTATTGGAGACCTTCCTCTTGGTCTTCGGCCTTCTACCTTACCTTCTACTACCAATAGTTCCATGGTGCCCGTTCTTCTAGCTATGTGGCCGAAGTAAGTTAGGTATGCTTGGTTTACTTTTTTTAGTAGCCTGTCTTTTATATGAAGCTCTTCCAGAATTGACAGGTTGGTTCTATGTTCTGTCCAGGACACGCGTACAATTCTTCTATATACCCACATTTCGAAGGCTTCGATCTTACTCCTATCGATTTTTTTGAGAGTCCATGTTTCAGCTGCATATGTAGCAATGGGAAAAATAAGGACATTGACCAACCTAAGCTTAGTATTCCTTGTTATTGTTCGGTCTTTCCATATTTTAATTAATTTAGCAGTTGCGGTTCGGGCCATTCCTAGTCTACGTTTGATTTCTGAGGAACAATCACCATTGTTGGTTATCAGAGAGCCCAAGTATACAAATCTGTCGACTACTTCGAAAATCCCTATTTGGCGTATATGCGGTAGATTATTATTTGCTCTGTCTACAATCATTATTTTTGTTTTTCTGGTGTTGATTTGAAGTCCGAATTCTTCACTTATTCGGCTTAGCCGTTCGATGATGGTAATCATTTCGACTTCATTCGCTGCTAGTATAAGTGTGTCATCTGCGTATCGCAGGTTACTGATTTTTCTGCCTCCTATAGTGATTCCTCCATCCCATTCATCTAGTACTTTTCTCATTATATATTCAGAATATATGTTGTACAATAATGGTGATAGTATGCAACCTTGTCTAGTTCCTTTCTCTGTTTTGAATGCATTTGAATATATTCCATGTACTTTAACTTTGGCTGAGTTTTTATTATACAGATTTCTTATTAGGTTAACTAGGTGGTTAGGTACTCCCATATTTTCCATTATACTCCAAAGAGGATCCCATTTTACTGAATCAAAAGCCTTTGTGTAATCTACAAAACAGAGCAACATTGGTATGTTATGTTCTCTCGCTTTTTCTACTATCTGTCTGGTGTTGAGTATTTGCTCACGCGTTCCCTTTCCTGGTACAAATCCACTTTGTTCTTCGGCTATCTCTGGAAGTAGAAAGTTCTTTAGCCGTTCATTGATTATATGTAGCAGGATTTTGCTTGCATGAGGGATAAGGGCAACGGTTCTGTAATTGCTGCATATGGTTAGTGATCCTTTTTTATGGATAGGGATCAAGGTTGATTCACACCACTCATCAGGCCATTCACCTGTGATCCATATCATGTTGCACATATCCAGCATTACATCTACGCCAATTTCGCCTATTGCTTTTAGAGTCTCCGCTGTTATGCCATCGATTCCTGGAGTTTTTTTGTTTCTTAGTTGGTTAAGAGCCTTCTCTACTTCTGCTCGTAAAATGATTGGTTCAGCCTCTCTGATTGCATGTTTTTTGTGTTCTGAGACTGATGCGTCATCTTTTGAAGTATCTTTGTATAATTCTGAGCAGTAATTTTTCCAGGTCTCTGCGATGCTCTCTATGTCGGTTTTTACTTCTCCATTAGAGTCTTGAATGGCTTGAAGTTGTAGCTTGAACTCTCGGGCTAAATATTTAACTTTTTTAAATAGTTCAGGACTTTCATGGCGGTTTGCATGTTGCTCCAGTTCTTGACACACGTTATTTATATGGTTGTTTTTATCTCTAATGCACATACATTTTATTTTCCTGTTTATCTCCGCTATTTCTTGAGTGTTGCTTCCTGTTTTTGAGATATGTTGTAGCATAGCTCTTCTTTTTTCCACTAACTCTAATGCTTCCCCTAACATCCAATGTTTGTTCTTTTGGGTTTTACGCGATGTGCATTTTTTTTCCACTGAATATATTCAGCTTTTATTCCATTCCACGTTTTATTTGTGTCTTCTAATACTTGTGGTTTTTCTTTGCTTATCAGTTTCATCTGGAATTCTTCTGCATTACTTACCCTTATCTGTTTTGTCTGATGTATTTTTCTAGTTGTGTGTAGTCTGAGCCTGCAGTTCATTTTTAGTAGTTTATGATCTGATCCACAATATGCTCCAGGCATAGCTTTTACATTTGTTATTGAGGTTTTCCATCTTTTCCGCACGAGTATGTAATCGATTTGATTTTTGTGTTCTTTATTTGGACTAGTCCATGTTGAGAGCCTTCTTGGGTGGTGTTTATAAAGGGTATTTGTTATCACTAAATTATTTTCACTGACAAACTGTAGAAGACGTTCTCCTCTGTTGTTTCTAATGCCCAAGCCAAATGACCCAACAATACCTCTTAAATGTGGTTCATTATCCGTTTTTCCCACTTTGGCGTTAAAGTCTCCAATAATATATACTGGCTCTTTTTGTGGTATCTTCTTCAGTATGTTTTCTATGTGGTTATATATTTCATCAATGTCTTCATCTGGGGCATCTGTTGTGGGCATATATATTTGAATGACATGGAAATTTTCTGGTTTTGCTTCTATTGTAATTTTTATGAGTATATCGTTTATTGTTTCATATTGTCTGACATATTTAGATATTCTATTGTTTATAAGTATGGCTACTCCATTATGCCCTGTATTTTGAGATCCTGATATGTAGATAGTGTGGTTTTGTGTTTTAAAATGTCCTTGATCTTTCCAGTGTGTCTCTGCTAGACCACATATGTCTATATTTTGTCTTATTATCTCTTTTTCTACTAGGTAAAGTTTTCCAGTTTGGAGAAGACCTCTGACGTTCCATGTCCCTATATTCATCGATTTTCTGCCTTGAAACTTCTGTGTTTGGTTATTTCTTCCAGTCGCCCATTTACCACGAGTGGCCTGGTTGCTCGCACACTCGTGCCCGGTAGCCCATTTCACACTGTCTGACCCGGAATCAGGACAGCGCCGGTCGCTAACCGGATCGCATGGCATCTCTACTTTTTGTGTTGCGCTACTCATTGATTTATTTATTGATTTATTTATTAAACTTTATACCGACATTTAAAAAGTAAGAGAGATGGAAAAAGTATTAAAATATATTTAGATATAATTAATTGTATAAAAAAATCAATCTACTACAAACATTCCAACAAAATGGGCTTACACAAAGAAATTACACAATTGAGTTAGATAGTAAATAAACAAGAGAAGAAGACCTCAAAAATTGTTAAGACATAAAGTAAACTGATATGACTGCGGAAATCCTTTGTATCTTGTGTCTTGTCTTAGATAGCTGGGGCATAAAAAAAACTAATAAATTAGAAACGGACAAAATTACGAATTCGCTAAACAAACCAGATACCTACATTCATTATCTTCCAAATGTGCCATCATACATGCATCAATTAAATAATTTGAAAGAAAGTTTGTACATATTACCTTGATCGAAGTTATCAAAACCGAAGCTAGATATTATCCTCGTAGTACCATATGGATGGGCCAACATGAAAGCTATGGCCATTTTGTAAGGCTCTGGATTCTTGTACGTAAGAATAGCAGGCGATCTGCCCCTTTGATTGTCATGGTTATCAATAAATACAACTGCATCAGTCCCTGGTAATAAACCCCATTCTGGACCCCAGTTGACTAGCCAGTGGAGATCATTGCGGCCCTGAAAGGCGTTACCCAATTCGGCACCGTATTTGAATTCAAGCACCGCTCCAAAGCTATTGTATTCAGTTTTTTTTACGGCCTCTCCCCCTACAATTAAAAATGTATTTTTTCCAAATATAAAAGGTATACGTATTATAAAATTATATTAAACTAAATTTGAGGTTTTTTATTTTAATTACAAAACTAAAGCTCTGAAAGCTCATGAAAAAGCTCTTTATTATAATAACACAACTAAATTTGAAACTGAAAAGAACCTAACACAAGAACCGAATTATTTTTTGTGGAATTTCGTTAACATTATTGAATATGTTAGTAGTGTAGTGTGGAACGGGTAGACTGCTCACTCATTCATTTAGAAATCCAGTTACTACTGATGTTTCGTAATGATGAGTACATAAAATATACAGTATACTGTATATTTTAAAAACTGTAAAATTACTTTGTTCTCATACCTAAATCTATAACCTCTTGGTAGAAGAAAGGTCTTCCGCTCAAACCGTGTCCTGTCAAATCCTTAACGCTGCTATAAATGGCTTTCAAATCGGCGGGCCACATATGCTTGGCAGCATCCACTCTAAATCCTGCGACTCCCAGATCTACCAAATGGTTTAAGTACTCAACAATTTTTTTACGGACAGAATCGTGACTCTGTAATTAAAACATTGTAAAAAATCTCTTCTTCTTCTTCTTTTGCCCTTTAATTCGTCCAATTTTGAACATAGGCTTCCCCCAGTTTCCTCCATTCGCTTCTGTTTTGTGCTTTCTGTTTCCAGTGTATTCCTCCTATCTTTCTAATGTCATCTCCCCATCTCATCTGGGGTCGTCCTCTTGCTCTCTTTCCTGTCCATGGTCTCCATTGTTGTATCGTGTTGTTCCACCTATTGTCTGTTTGTCTGGCGTTATGACCTGCGAAACTCCATTTTAGCCTGGCTATATGTTGACCTGCGTCTTTGACTTTTGTTTTGTTTCTTATCCAGATGTTTTGCTTCTTGTCTTTTAATTTTACTCCCAACATTGCTCTCTCCATGGCTCTTTGTGTCTTCACTATCTTATCCATGTTTGCTTTGGTCAGAGTCCATGTTTGGCATGCGTATGTGAGAATTGGGAGTATGCACTGGTCAAACACTCTTGTTTTTAAGTACTGTTGTATTTTCTTATTCTTTAGGACCCATTTTAATTTTCCAAATCCTGCCCAGGCTAATCTGACTCTTCTTTTTACCTCCGCTGTTTGGTTTTCCTTATTTATTTTTATTATCTGTCCCAAATATATATAATCATTAACCGCTTCTATTGTGATTCCATTTAGTATTACGTTTCTATTATCTTGTGTGTTTGTCATTGTTTTCGTTTTGGTAAAATTCATTTTTAGGCCTATTTGTTCAGATTCCTTGGCTAGTTCGGTTAGCATAGTTTGTAGTTCTTCAAAACTTGATGTTATTATTACTACATCGTCTGCATATCTTAGATGGTTTAGTTTCTTTCCATTTATGTTTATTCCCATGTTTGTCCATTCCATTGTTTTGAAAACATCTTCCAGTGCTAATGTAAATAATTTAGGAGAAATAACATCGCCCTGTCGCACTCCTCTGTTAATTGGTATAGGTTTTGTGTTTTCTTCCAATTGTACTGTCATTGTTGCTTTCTTATATATATTGTGTATTAGCATTCTGTATCTGGAATCTATTCTACAGTTGTTTATAGCTCTTTCTATTGCCCACATTTCCACACTATCAAAAGCTTTCTCATAGTCAACGAATGCTAAATGCAGATCTAAATGATATTCGTTAGCTTTCTCTATCAGTGTCCTAATTGTTAAAAGATGGTCAGTGGTGCTATATCCTTTTCTGAATCCTGCCTGCTCTACTTGTAAAAAATAGTAATAATATAATATACAGACAACAGGATTTCACTTGAGATCATTTATGGTAAAAAAGTAATGTAAAGAATTTAAATAAATAAAATAGGATGAAGGCTCCTCCTCCAATAAATTGGAAGAGAAGTCTAAGCAATCCTTAATTTTTTTTATTGAATTAAAATTTACAATCTACTCCTTCAAAGATAAAGTAAATGTGTTAAAAGTTGTTTTTTTGTGGCGTAAGCTGCCCAGTTGTAGTTTACCAGTAAATATCTAGTGAGATCTTCTGGCCAGTTTTTCTTAAGTCTTCTTTCCTCTCTCTAATGGTTGGATAGTTCACTTAGTAACTGGTATTCATGGTGTAACATTATATTTTTGTAGTTTTGTGCTCTTTTTTATCATTAATAAATAGTATTTTTAAATCTTCATGTATTGTTGAATTAAAGATGAACCAGGATGCGTTTATCATGGTGGCATGAGAGTTTCTCATGATGCCCCAGAGTTCAATACCGTATATCCAAATTGGCTTCAAAATTGCCCTATATACAGTTATTTTGCTAGCAATTGATAATTGTGACAATCTTAGAATAAACCAATTCACTTGTCTAGTGTTTAGGACCAGCTGACGTTTTTTCGCCTTGACGTGTGCTTTTGGAGTAAGTCTTTTGTTTAAGTGAAATCCTAGATATTTTTTCTTCTGCTTCATTATACCTTTTTTCTGACTAAATAAAGTGACCTTTTGAATATATGACCTTTAAGGCTCATCCTCGAAAATCCTAACGGTAAATTTCAGTTTGCTATCTCTATTTCAAAAATTTCTTTTTTTACGAAAACAAAATCTGTTCATGAAGTAATATTCTAAACTTCGTTTAGATATCTCTCTCAAGCCCAGGTCAAAAATGCGTTAATCTTTTACTCGAGCCGATTATACACCGGGACAACCCCTGCAGTGACAGGTTTTGGCTTACAATAAAACCATAAATCTCTTTAGTGGTGTTTTGAGTAAATATAATAACAGATCAAAGTAATACATACTTCATCTAATTTAGATAACGACTTACGTCATTATCTACGTCAGAGATCGAAGTTGACATAGTTGCCAAAATATAAAAAAATCCTGACTCCATTTTAAATCAAACAGATTACATAATTATTGCAAAAGTATTACCATCTCTTTACAACGACTATTTAAATTCTTACGTGACATTTTTGAAATAAAACACACTAATTTTGTTCTAAAAAGAACAGATTTTATTAAATAGTTAAAAATATAAAACAAGAGATATTCAATTTAAAATTCAAAATAATGAAGTACAAAAAGTGTCAACACCGCAACTGTCAAATAAGTGTTACCAATTTATGCCAAAATTTTACCTTCGTTCGATTACAGTTACAGTGTGTTCCGAACAAATGCTCTTGATAAAAACGATTTATAATGCATTTATACAAATTAAATGAAACATATTATTGTGTATTTCTTTAAGTTAACATTAATAGAAATTTTTAAATATTATTTCTACGCGTATATAATAAAATATGTCTAGTGGCTGTAATGCCAGTGTACTGGGTAAAGTGATTCTAAAAAAGAACACACCTACACCCTAAATATTTTGTGTTGGTATCATGTGACGTCACAGGCTATGACGCCGATGACGTACATCGTTATACAAATTAGATGAAGTGTAATCTATTCATAAATTTACAATGTAACAAATGTAGATACATAATTTATTTGTTATTTTTTTAAGGAAAAATTGGCTGTCTGAATTTTAACGTAGATTAAAGTTTACGGAAAATAAAAATTATAAAAAAAGATTAATATTTTTATTATATATCATAAAAATTTGATTAGTATCACGATCATTAAAATTGATAAAATGAAACGATATAAATATAGAATTATGTCTAATGTTTCTTCAGAAGGTGTTTCAAATAAAAATTGTAATAAAAATCGTATCTAATTAGTATCACGATCATTAAAATTGATAAAATGAAACTATAGAAATATAGAATTATGTCTAATGTTTCTTCAGAAGGTGTTTCAAATAAAAATTATAATAAAAATCTTGAAATTTTTGTAGCATATTTTCCCACAGTTCCATATATTTATCAATCTTTTCAAATAAAATATTTTTTGGGGTCCATAGCGCAAACTAACAGTATTCTCTATTCGATATAAATAACAAAATAACTGTCCTTGCACTGGATAGTAATAGGAATCAGTTCTTTTTAAAATTTCTTGAAGGAAGCAATAATTCAGTCACGCTATCATTTCCCATTTTGATTTTTGATATTGAATTTGATAGGTTGTGGTTTATTACACCAAAATCGAATAAAATATAACATGACACAAGAAATAGTTTCAGAATAAGCTTGATGTGTTGTTTATTATCATTCAGTAAGAGACTAATTTACTTCTTACAATGCTAATCTAACAGACAATTATTATTGTCCAATGAAAGAAATAAGATAATTTACTTGTGTGCTTGTGTTTAGTAAACGTCGGCCCTATGCAACTAATTGTCAACAAAGAACGGATTACAAAAATTTAGATTTATGAGATTTATGAGGAGCATTTATGAAACTTAAATGTATACTGAGTACTTATTTCAAAAATTTACAACTAAGGATTTAATTTGTTAGATGTAAATATACTCCTAGATCTAGAGAAAATGGGAGTGCGACAATGGGAATTACTGGCACAGGACCGACAAACATGAAAGGCAATAGTAACCGCGGCAAAGACTTACGAAGAGTTGTAGCGCCATTGATGATGATGATGATGATGATGATGATGATGATGATGATGATGATAAAATATAGTGTATAACTATTTATATGGATGTGAAATATAGATGATGAAGGATTATATGATGGACATTTTAGGATGTACGTTGAAAAATTAATGCAAATATCGAGCACAAATTTAATAATCAAATCTTGCCCAAGTACTTTCGCTTTCTACAGCATCATCAGGGGCATCTGAAATAAGCCAAGAAAAGTTTTTTTAAATGAAGAAAATTAATAAACTTCGATAAAAAACTCGAAGTTAATGGATGATAAAAGTTTTTTGTGATTAACATTTTAGACTTACTTCGTCAAATTTGGGCTATCCAGCAAGCGCAGATGCCCCTGATGATGCTGTAGAAAGCGAAAGTACTTGGGCAAGATATGATTATAAAATTTGTGCTTGAAATTTGCCTTCATTTTTAAAAGTTCATTTATTCGAGCATTCAACCTTATATCAATAATTTAGGATGTGACTCAGGTATATGATAAAGTATGGCAAAGACGCCATAACTATAAACTAAGACTGCATTTACCAAAACGATACTCTCAAATAATTGACTCCTGCATCTTGGAAAGATATTTCAGAATTAAACAGCAAGAAACATACACGGAATTGAAAGATATTACAACAGGGCTGCCACAAAGAAGTGTCTTTACCTTTTGTATACGTGTTATATTATTGTCCTAGAAAATATACAATTGCAACATTTACCGAAGATATTGCTATCATAGCAATATGCAAAACCAGCGAGGAAGCGACAAAGAAATTACACAGATGTTAATCAAATATATACTCCAGGGAAATAAGCAAAAAATAGACCATGTTCGTGACACTCAATAATCCAGGTCGTTGACAACTTTTTTAGTTATTGTAGACCTATAGGAAGAAAACCTACTTGTTTTTTGCCTTGAATTTGGAGCTATTTTTTAATTATTGACAATTTAATGCAAAAAACGCGATTCTTTCTATGATTATTGATACTAGTATTAAAAAAAATAGATT